GCCCCTAAGTCCCCAGCCTCATCTAATCCCCTATGTGGATATCCCCCATCCTGCAATGGGGAGAACACAGAGGCAAAATAGTCATTTAGCATCTGTGCCTGTTCCCTCATATTGTCACTCCTTTAACCCAGGAATTACCCCCTCAGGTGTTACCGCAATAAAAGCCCCCAAAACTCCACACTTTTTCTTTTTTCAATAACAACATGACAGTGGGTTTATTTTCTACGGCTTTCCACCCGCCTGCCCTTCCAAGTGCCAAGGAGCTTCCTGCAGGCCTGGGGTGGCCCTTCCGAAATCACAGGTACTACGGCATCAAGCAGTTGGTGGCCCTTTGCGGGTGCAGGCCAAGGTGCGGGGATACCCCCACGAGGAGACTGACTTCCGCACTATTTCCTCTTGCTAAGCTTCGGTTTGACACTTCGGAGAGACGTGGGTGGGTGGAAATACTGGTTCAAAAACTCCAGCGACTCCCCCATGTCTCCTCCCCTCTCGAAAAAGGATGCTCGCGCCTCGGCCTCTCTCCGCCTTCTATTACACAAGGAGGAAAAACCTGACTGAGGGTTTATAAACGAGAGGCGGCAGGCGTCCTGGAGAGAAACGGCGGCATTCGCCTTGAGAACAGAGCCGGCAGGAGGAGAGCGGAGCCTGAAAGCGACACCTGCCCTTAAGCGGACCCGGGGAGGTTGCAACTCCAAAGCAGCAGCCAGATAGCCCCCTGCAAGAAACTTTCCTCCGCAGCCACCCTACCTCACTGCTCGGCGCAATTCCCTTCGAGAGGCTTAGCGCAGTTTCCCTGAACTTGGCGCCTGCCCTGCCAGCGAAACCAGCAGCCCGCCGCGCTCAGCCCGCCGATCCGCCTGCTTTGCCCGACCCGCACCGGCCAGCTATGAGCTCAGAGCACTTGGTGTACGACCTGGAGAAAGGGAGCCGCGTGATCCTGGTGGACAAGTCGTTGCGCAAAGAGGGCCCCTGGAAATGTCTGAGCATCTGCTCCTTCGTGCTCCTGATCGGGGCCACGCTGCTTTTCACCCTCTTGCAGTTCGGAGCTTTCCGGCAGTCAGAAACCGAGGTAAGCAGCACGGGGAGATGGGGCGAGACTTCTCTGGGGAGGGCGGATTTTGAGGTATCCACCTTTTCCTCTGGGTGGCGCTGCGAGGACTTGCACACCGGGCATCGGATAATGGAAAGGAGCGCCGCAAACAAACTGCTCCTATTGGCGAATAAACTCGGAACCACCCGTTCAAAATAGCACAACGTTATTTCAACTTGCATCTCCCACCACCAGATGTCCCAAAACCCCGATTCTCCCCAGCCAGCTAAGAATTGGCTTTGCGGTCTGATCGCATCTTAAGGGGCTTTTAGAGGAAAGATAGTATTAAGCGTGGGATCAAGTCCCATTGAACTCAATGGGCCATTTTTAAAAGCAATCATGTGTAGGATTTTGTTTGGCAGTGCTTGACCTATGGCGCATGTTGATTTTGCCCTTTTAGGCAAAGAGGCAAAAGAGAAGATTTAGTGGGCCTGAAGTGGGACTTCTCACACATGCTAGTTGAGCACCAGATGGCCAAAAGACCCTCAAAGAGCTCAGTTTGAGGAGGTTTAATTCATTTGAATCATTGGCACTGGAGCATTTTTCAGCCAATGTGTCTATTCTTCTTGGGTAGTTGTCTGCAATATTTGGCAAAGAGAAAGGACAGGACAGGTAGAAAATGTTTTCATTTCTGTTTATGAGCACACATTCAATAGTGTGATCTAGACAACTAATTTTGTATGTCCATTAAAAAACCTTACTTATTAAAGGCAATTTTGCCTGTTTGAAGAAAAGAGCTTGGCAATCTTTTTAGGGCCATTGAGTGGATTACTGGGATTTGATGCCAGTATTCCAGAGGGAGTTTAATAAACTGCACTCAGCCCTGTGCTATTTTTCTGTGCATTCACAAGGCTTCCCTTTTCAGTCTTCTTCATTGGACATAGATAACTCCAGCTTGTGGCTATCACAATATGTTCTATACCAATAATGGTATTGAATGTATACCATATTCTATTTGTTCTACACCCATACTAATCTAATCTCCCTCATTTCTTTTTCAGGAAAACAGAAACCCACTTTCTGGTAAGTATTTCTAAATACTGACATTTTCTTAAGTGACACTTTCTTTACCTGCAATGGGCCACTACCCCTGCTGGAATCTCATGGATTCTTAGCTCAAGGACTCCTCCTCCTCTTTTTCCAAATCTTTTAGGGGAAATGGGCATGATCTGGGGAAATACTCAATGCATTCAAATCCTGTTGAGTAAATGTAACTGCCTGCTTAATTATCCAATTGAAATGGCAGAGTTTGGAAAAACTGATAGGTCTCGACTTGGCAGGACTTGCAAGAAAGTGCACGATGGGGTACAGGTTTACCAAAGGGTGGTTCCCATTTCTGTTTCGGACAGGGGCAATGTCCCTCATGGAACTTGAAGGCAGATCCTTGAAAATCAGACTCTAGTCACAGCTTTGGATGGCCTGCAGAAGGGATCCTGCCCGCCCTCACAGGCTTTCTGTGACGGCTGGACTGTATTCTGTCTCCCCACGGTCCCCCTTCCGAAGAGGCTGAGAAGGACATGTCCCCTGACCATTTGCCTTTCTCTCTTTGCAGAAGGGTTGCCGGCGACCATGAAAGTGCAGGCTCTGGTGTCCAGGAAACCAGCTGCACATGCCATTGGTGAGTAGCAATCTTTAAGTTGCTTGAAAGGGTCTCAGGAGTTCCAGGTTTTAAATAGCATTATTACCATGTGACCAGAATAAAATAGCAGAATTGAGGGATATCACATAGTGATTGAATTAGGAAGCATAGGGAAATGTAGGGTTCGAAGTGAGGTTTTGAACTGCATTTTAAGCAGGGTTTGAACTGTATTTCTTAAATGCAGGAGTGCAGTCTGGTATTCTGGACCAACGGTAAAGGTTGGCTCATAATCTGGTTAAGGCCAAGTTGCTCCAAAGTATCTGGCCTCTCTACTGTGCCAAAATGCCAGGCCAAACTGGTTTCTTGCAAGGCAATCAAACTAGGCCCTGCAGAACTTTTGTAGCCTGATTTCCACTTTGGGGAAGACCTCAGGACCCAAGGGCAAAAGGCGTGAGGCCAAAATACATCAGATATCAGCAGATGTTCCCTTAACATTCTTACTGCCAATAACTAAGTCTTAGAACAGGCACTGGTCCTTGGGAAGAAGTCTTGGGAAAGGGAAAGGGCCCTCTGAGGCTTCCCAGAGGGTTTGCTTGGATCTCCCAGGGGGCAAAAGATGTGCGATGCCTTAGCAGAGCAACAGAGAGAATGGCCGAGGGAATGGGTGGACAGGTGACTCTCCTTGATTCTGACTGGCTCTCTCGTCCTTGCCTTCCATTACAGCTAACTTAAGTCGCCACAACCAGTTGCTCTGGACAACCAAGGTAGCACCTTCCATGTTGGAAAATGGCATGCAGCTAAATGAAAATGACAATTCCCTCGTCGTGCCTTCCACCGGACTCTATTTTATCTACTCTCAGCTCTTGTTCCACGGAAAGGGCTGCACGTCCCCCGTGCTGCTCACCCACACCATCTCCTGGCAGTCTGCACAATTCAACACAGAAGTGGACTTGCTGAAATCCATGAAGACCGTCTGCGAGGGGGGACGTGATCCCCCCAGCCACTCAAAGTTGTGGTTCGAATCAATTTACCAGGGGGCTGTTTTCAAGCTGCATAAGGGAGATCGCCTCTGGTCTAAAACCGATTTACCTCACCATCTGGACTTAACACGGAGTGGGCAGATCTATTTCGGGGTGATTGGCATGTAGGCGATTGTCCTCACTGAGCGCCCCCTTGCCTCATAGTAAGTTTTCCAGTATTCCAAGCAAAGCCCAAGCGAACAAATAATCCATGCCTCTGTTTATTAGAAAAGCCAGCAAAAAAAAAAAAAAAAAAACAGGGGTCTGCTTGGATGGCCAGTCTTAAGACCAAGAAGACCCTGCTGATATGAAGGAAATGGCACATGGTCTAGAAGGCTTGGGTGGGTGCATCATCCGGGGCTCTTTTTTAACCCTCTTTTGATTACTTCATTGATATGAGTTATTTATTTGAATCGCCCTTTTTTATGACTTATTCCTAATTTAATTTAATTAATTTATCTATTTATTTATTTATTTATTCATTGTGTGTGTGTGTGTGTGTGTGTGCGCGCGCGCACGTGCGCATTGGAAGGATTGTGGAAGCCATTGTGCATGCGTGCATCTCTGGTCCACTCAGGACTGCACATGGGCAGAAAGGTTTTGTGCTGCGCATTCAGTGAATGCGCGTCTGCCATTGTGTATGTGTGATACTTGGACTAGCCCGTGGTTACATGTTTTGGTGCTTGTGGAATGCATGAAACTTGCTTGAAAGGAAATGTATGTTCCAGGTACTGTCTGCAGTTCATTGTATGTCCCTCTTTTTCCCCATATTTATATATACTGTGTATATCTGTGAACACTTGACAATGTCAATTTAATGAATTGCAGGAACTGCTCCTGAATTGGGGATTGGGGACCTGAAGTTCTTAAATAAAAGGTGCAATCTATGCATGATTAGACCAAAATTCCTGCAGCTCCCAGGATTCCCCAGCAACTATGGCTGGCTGGAGAATGCTGGGAGCTGCACAACTTTTTTCTGCCTAAAGATGAAGAGGAAATCAACAGGGAAAGGGAAATCAAGGACAGGGAAATCCCCTGTCCCTATTGGGGAATTTCCAAAGCCCATCTGGTAGATTTTCTATTGAAATGTTGCCTGCAGTTTTTCATGAAACAAGTAATTTTAAAATAAAAAAGACCTTGCAAATTTATTTTTATAAACTATTTTATAACAGTGACTCTTTCCTGTGCTATTTGCTGTTGGGCACATGGTGGAGACTTATATTACAACTGTTTTTATTTGGTCCTGTACTTGAATGGGAAAAAACAATGAGACTGCAATAAAAGATCTTTATAAAAATGTACTGTGTCCTTGAAATTAATTGTAATTAAATTAATTGTAATTCTGTTGTTTTGTCCATGAACCATAATGATTACATAACACAACAGTTATATGGGCCCTGTTCTATTTCACATTAAAATGAAAGAAACATATCTAAAACCAGAAGTAAAACAGTTATCCGGCTTATGGTCAGCCACAGGAGTGGGCAATCTTTTTCTGCCCATGGACCACCAAACACTTAGAAATACCTTTTCAACATAGCTGCTTATATCAAAATCTATTAAATAACTGCATTTTGCCATTTGAAAAGTTGTCCTGGGCACGGCCTTATGCTATGGGAGGCATCACAAAGGACAGGCAACCTTCCCCACAGGCTGGATACAAGGTTTTGGCGGGATCTAAGCCTCAACACACTGAACATTTCATTTGAAATCATTTTTCAGCACCTACAAATCCTATTTTACAGCAGTCCCACCTGCCAGTACGAAAATGTGTCAATTTCAACAAGTGGGAGAGGCAGGGCACCTCCATAATGAATGCCAAGAAATGCCTTGTTCTCCACACTATTCATGGCTGGCCTAGTGTTAAGAAGTTGGAGTAGTCCTGACATTCTGTAGTTTCCTGTGGTAACTGCATTTCAGCTTATTTATTCCATCAGTCACTTAGACACTTAAAGAGCTACACAAAACTGCATGATTAAAAAATCAGGATGGACCCAGATTTAAGTCAGAGTAAACAGTGGATGCACTATAAGTTGGCTTGCTAAAGTCCCAGTGATTTAAATGAATCTAAGTAGGACTGGAAATATGGATCCATCTCATCACCCCCGCTCCCCACCTTAAAATGTCAAGCCAGGCAAGTCAAATGAAAGAGAAGATGACATGTTTACTCCTGAAAAAGTTTTACTGTATTCATTGGGGCACACTCGCAGAGTGCTCCATTGAATTAAATGGAAGTTACTTCTAAGTAGACACACATAGGACAGTGCTATAAAAGCGGAGGTGCTTGACAAATGTGACCTTTGCAAATTCTGAACCGAAGCAATCCAATTCCCTCCTTCCTAACTAACATGCAACTTGGAACTTGGTCACTTATCAGGTTTTGAGCTTTCTGAGTTGTCTAATGTAGATATAGCCTCAAACAATAAAAAATAACTAAGGGAATGCCTGTTTCCATCTATCCCTACCAGACCACTCAGAGCATCAATGGAGGTCTTCTTCATGACCAGCCCCAGATTTGGTGAGGAGGAATTGGCGAGGAAAAGAGCCTTCTCCGTCATCACACCTCACCTTTCGAATTTCCTTCCAAGAGAGGTGCAACTGGCACTCGCATTATTTTGCTTTCAGCACCAAGTTAAGACCTTTTTATTTAGTATTTCTTTTTAAATTGTGATTTATCGATCTTGCTGCTGGTTTATTATTTTAGTGTCCTGTTGTTTATGTTGCGCTTAACCTGCTACTGTATTTGATACAGTATTTTTATTGTATTATGTACTGGTTTTAGCTACATGGGGTGGCATACAAATGCAATCAATCTATCTATCAATCAATAAAACAAAATGTCAAACTGGATGCAGAATGTTGGGATAAATTAAAAATAGGTATTTAAAAGTGTCTGTTTCTTCTGCTTTGTTTTGAAATCACAGGTTAATGCAGAAATGGGATGGAATTAGAGGAAAACACCAAAGAAAGTTACACACTGGATAGAAACCATCCCGTTACAAGGTTCTTCAACATTTGGGTGAAAAAGACAAATTTGCCTGGGGGTCTATAAGGGAACACTGACGGCACGCAAGTGCTTGGCTCGGAGAGTCGATTTTTGGAACAGAAAGGGGTAGGAAATGTCTAACTCTTCTATTGTTGCATATTTTTTTTACTGTGAGGAGAGGCATTTGTGGAAATGTCTGCCTTGGGAGTCCAAATATTATGACTGGTTTTGTCCATTCCTTGCTTTCACAGCAGAGACAGAGCTAGAAGCTGGCCAACTAGAGCTGGAGCACCCTGCTCTGAGAACCCTCCCTGAAGGAGGCAGCCGGGACATCTGCTTGCAGTAGGGCCTTCTCTGTGGTGGTGCCCAGATTGTGGCCTGCGCTCACCGGAGAGGTTTGCCTGGTGCTGAGCTTATATTATTTTTGGCGCCAGGTCAAAACCTCTTTATTCAATCGTTATTTTAGAAATGAGTACTTTAACATTTCACCAGTCACTTTTGATCTAATTTTTATTGATTATATGTTATTTATTATATTTGTATGTATTGTTTTATTGTATTTTGATTTTAATGATTGTAAGCAGTCCTGAGATGCCATGCATAAGGGACGGCATAGAAAAGTTTTAAATAAATAAATAAATAAAATATTTCTGGGAGACTTTCTGCCTCACCATCTTGCTGAACATGGATGCTTGCTGAAGAAAAGGTGGAGGGGCATTGCTGAGCTCTTTTGCAGTAGAGCACATGCTTCCCGTCTTCGTGTCCATCCTGAACACTGCTGCATTTGCTTGCTTGCTTGCTTTTGAATGCAAATGCCCTCCTCTTGCCTGCCTATACATCCTTTTTTCCCCCAAATAGGGATGTCCTTGGAAGGGAAGCCCCCTTAAGGAAACAAAGAGAGGGACTTTACAGCCTATGTAAATTAACATATGCAAATTTGCAGCTCCTCCCACACCTTCTCAGGAACTAGCACTGTCCCTATGGGGCAGGGGAAGATCATTAGCTGTTCCACCCCAGGAAGCAAACACACTTGAGCTGGGCCTGGGTGAGGGCAAGCAAGCACGCCAGGGGCCAGTTCCAGCAATGGGACAGCACCACAGAACAATTCCTCTCCCCAGAGGTTTCTTTTAACTCTGAAAGCCGGGACATAAGAACAAAAGAAATGCCCTGCTGGATCAGACCCAAGGTCCAACTAGTCCAGCAGTCTGTACACATGGTGGCAAACCAGCTGCCCACAGGATCCCTCAAGCAGGAGGGGTGCAAGGCCTCTGTCTGCCCAAGCTCCTCAGCAACTGGGGCATGCAGGCTGGCCTCCTCTGGTGAAGGAGGTAGTCCATAGCCAGCAAGGCTAGTGGCCCCTGACAGCCCCCTCCCTCATGAACCAGTCCAATCCCCTTTTAAAGCTATCCAGAATAGTGGCCATCACCACTTCCTGTAGCAGTGAGCACCATAGTTTAACTATATGTCAGGAGAAGAAGCACTTCCTTTCATCCGTCCCAATCCTCCCGCCAATCAGCTTCATGGGATGACCCTGGGTTCAAGTGTTATGGGAGAGGGAACAAAATGTCTCCCTTGCCATTTTCTCTCCACTGTAGGTCACTCTGGACACCTCTAGCAAGTCTCCCCTTTTTCGCCTTTTCTCTAAGCTGCACAAGCCCAGCGGTTGCAACTGTTCCTCGCTCCGGCCCCTTCATCACTTCCATCTCTCCCTGCTTTTTTCAGTCCAATAATGTCCCTTCTCAGGTGTGGTGACCAGAACTGTACACTCCGTAGCCACACCAAACACCTGCATAAAGCGAGTAGAACCTTAGCAGCTTTATTTTCACTTTCCTTCCCAATCGAGCCTAACACGGAGTTTGTCTTTTGTGCAGCTGCTGTGCACGGGATCAACAATTTCATTAAGCTGTCAACCACAACCCGGAGACCTCCTTCTTGCTCAGTCCCTGCTACTCAGATTCCCATCAGCCTATGCTTGAAACAGGGATTTTTCTGCCCCAACATGCGTTACTTCACACTTGCTTACAATGAACTGCATCTGCCATTTCGATGCTCATTCCCTCAGCATGGAGATATCCCTTTGGAGCTTCTCATGATCCCTTTTGGGTTTAGCCACACTAAAAGTTTGGTAACATCAGCAAACACGGCCATTTCACTGCTTACTCCTAATTCCAGATCATTTATGAATATGTTGAAAAGCATTAGCCCCGATACAGAACTGTCTGGGTCCTAATTACATCCATTTATTGGGAGAATTACCATGTATTCCCTCTCTCTCCGTTCTGGACTTTAACCAGCTACTGAAAAAAGGGCATCGCACCACAAGAACTCAAGAACTCACTTCTTGAGTTTTTCAAGAAGGCTAGC